ACTGCAACAGTGAGAAAAGGACATGATGAAAGAGACTACCAAGACTGAATCTCATCGAATTGTTTCCTTATACTCTCTACTCACCTGTGCCTACTTGTCTGTCTTATCACTCGACTGCATATGCTTCAGGGCAGGAAGTTGCTAAACGTACATCATTTTAAATCACAAAACTTGCAAATCTCACAATAAATTATTAACAATAACACCAAAAGCAAATACAAGCTTTGTAAAAAATGGTTGCCATTATGTTCATTTTTAAAACCAGGCTGGTGGCTCTTTGACCCCCAGCACAGAATTAAGCTTTACAAATTGCATTGCCATTAAATATCTCATTGAACATCTAGACCAGATAAATATTCATGTAAATTTTTCACTAGTAATTATCCTGTTGTGTCTTTCATTATACCAATGCAGTAACTTTACCAGTACTATTTGAATAGCATTAGCAAAATCACCTTATATATTCAGAATTAGCCAAATTGCCACTGGCATCACTGCTGTCCACTGATATTAAGGGTTCAGATGAGGATATCTTTCTATTGCTGCCAGCTTTTCAAACTTGCAATTATTTTTGAAGCAGATTATTTTATTTATCCAGACCATTTTCACTCCTGGAAACGAAGTGATCTTTACTGTCTAGAACTCAGGTGGATTAATACAATGCAATGAAGTCTTCTTTACATCCTTGCAATAAAACTGCTTTTGAATAGTGCACAGCTGCCAGTGTGTGCTTGATGTATTTGCTTTGAAATTATGTAGCTATTTCTATTGATTCCTCACACAGATAATTTTCTGTGTGCCAGTGAAGTCTTCAGAATCCTATGCCTTTTGTCATAATTTATCAAAGCTATTAATAAATTTGTAGAAAAGTGGCTTACAATAGCTATGTCTAAGAGGGCTGGAATAAAAAGTCCTGTAAAATTTTCATGATGACAGTTTAAAATGTCACATGAATCTTCTGCTGCTTAGAAAAAAACTGTATTTATTACAAATACAATCTTCAAAATAAATATTTGAGCATGATAAAAGACCTGTTTGCCACTCTCCTTCAGCTGCAGAGTGCAGTGATTACTGGTGCTCTTGCTCATACCCAAATGCTGTCAGGAGCATTTTGAAGACACTAAAAAAAAATACCTAAGGAACACATATGTTTGACAATACAAAAATAATCTACAGTGTCAATCTCATGACCTCTTACCATTCATAATTCTAACCTTATGAACATATCTAATAATCAAAATGCACAATCATCTCCTTAACTATACAAATAAAATTAATGTATTTTGATTTTTATTCTCTTTCTTTCAAAACTGTATTTTTCTTATACTCCATTTTTGCACAGCAAAGGTACCAGATCTATTAGTTTATCGCCTTGAAGATTAAGTTTTTACCTTCTGTTACAATTCTGACCAATATTTTCAGGGTTTTTACATTATTCACATGAAATAATTAAAGAACTACCATTTCCCACTTTTATTTCCACTTATTAATAAATAAAAACTTTTCTAGGTATTTACAAGGGTATTTGCTTCACTGAGGAAACAAAGGAAAGAAAAACCTTTTCCAGAAATTTTTGGAATAGATGTATGTGAATTTTCTGCTTTTCTTCAGTCTTTTAGATATATTTTAACTAAGATGTGTTTGGACTCTATCTCATAGTGTATATTTTCCAAATAATTGGCAATTATTTTTGGTTATCAGTTTTGCATAATGCCATCCTTTACCCTATATCTCCCCAAATACACACCATTCTGACCTGCAAGTGGTCAGCCTCTACTGACTTTCTTCAGCACTTAAATAAACCTTTCCAGCACGTTGTCCATCTGAGAATTCACTTGTGATTCTGCAAATCTGTTCAAAGTATTCTTTAGCTACTTAAAAAAACCCCTCAGATATTCAAGTTCTCTTATCACAGAGACCTATTGGGAAGTTCTGACCAGCTTGTGATTCAAGATCTCAACATCCATCAAAACAGTGAGAACTTGAAACAGAGTCTGCTCTTTATATTAGAGAGATATTTTATGATCTTGACAAAGGGACTTTTATAACTAATTCAACTGAATAAAAGAGAGAAATCTACTATATTCTTATCCCTTTCATCTGTGTATTCTGTTAAAATGGTGATATTGAATTCTGCATTTACTGATTCTACACCTTTCCACAAAATTAGGTCTTCGCATTTTAAGAGGAATATTAGACTAACAGCTTCCTCACATGCCTATTGTCACATGTGTGTGCACCTGTACCCAGGCTCTTGTAGAAACTTCCCATTTAGCTCATTTGATCTCATTTAGCTCATCCCCTTTTGTCTTAGCACCTATCAAGTGTTATCTCATCTTTGTGCTTTTAAGATTATTGTAATGCATTTTACATTCTTATAATGAGATTTTACATTCATTCTTATAATGAGATTTCTCTCCCATTCTTCCGTCACTCATTACTTCAGCCACTCCCACACATTCTCACCAATGCTGTTGTTTTCAGATAAAAGCAATTTCAGCATGAGTTAAAATTATGAGTCTTCAATGCTCCTATGGATCTAGTTGTGGAAAAACAGACTAGGCTAGTGACAGACATTTTAGGCTGGGAATCTACATCACTTTTTGGTTTTGGTGATTTTAACAGAACACATTATTTTACGATAATGCATGTGTGGTTGTAGGAAGTACAGTGACACTCATCTGTTTCCTTAGAAGTACCAGTCTTCTCTCTTTGAGTCTAGATAACTGGGAAGAATAAATGTTGCCTAATGCTTTCCAGCATGGAAAGCAAATCTTGCAAAACAATTCATTACAAATAAATTAGAAGAAAATCTGTAATCTGGTAGCAAAGCAAAGCCATGATAATAATTTCTGAAGGATTCCGTATGTTTCTCTTTGATGCCTCTTAGTCAGCATGGCTCACTAACTGGTCATGTCAGTGTGGTGATTTGAACTCCAGGTAACTCTCTAGCAGAAGCCATTGGTGGGCAGAAAAGTGAGGCTGACTTTGTTATTGCTGACTAAAAGAAAAAATGACAACAGACATCTGCCTCAGAAGATCTGGATTAAAATAAAGTTACTGTATTATGTGGTAGAGCATAAAGGAGATCTCACTGTTTTCCAAACTCTACAGCAAAAACCCTGACTCCGCATAGCCTGAATTTTATTTTTTTAACTGTGTTAAAAACAGATGAAGAAACCCCACAAGTTTGACTTGCAACAAGGTCTGCAAAGCACAAAAGGTTCTGCAAAATGACTGCTTGTTAAACACCATTTCTTCAGTGGCTCAGATCAGTTCTGACAGTGCATAAAAAGGCATCCCTAGAGAAACCCCAGGATTCTGAGCATTGAGATCCCCCACTCTCTACAGACATGGGTTTATGTAAGTGCTTACAGACATGACATGACACAGAAAAAAGAAGAAAATTAAATAAAATGTCTGCAATGGCTTGATAGCACTAGAGAGTAGAAAGACAGGGCTAGAGAATAGAGTATTTACTGTTCCAAACCATTCTCTCTGCATGGTTTGGAAAACTGATCAATGTGGTCAAATCATCAGCTTAGTTATTATAAAACACAAATATCCTTCCACTGTGAGGGCAGAGGCAGAGGGAAGAAGAAAATGCAGAAAAGAAAGCTAATGAAATCTCACACAGAAACTTCAGTAATGCAATTGTCTTTTCATCTATGCTTGCTGATGAACATGGCTCCACCCAGAGACAGCCGTCTTGGGGAATTAAATCATTCTGGTCAATATGGCATAAAGTGGACAGGAGCAACAGCTTAAAAGCCATTTTCATGATCAGAAACACTGTTAAATACTCACATGAGAACATTCTAAAACAGGTAAAGCTACACAGCTCTACAAACAAGTTAAACAAAATTCAGTGAAGGCAAGTCATTAAAGGATATTTAATGTACACAATTTATTTTTCTATTTGCAGTTTCTCTTCCTACCAAATGCCTGATTACTTTTCTTTGGTTATATGCATATTGTTCAACACAAAGAAGATGTCCTCTAAGATTTAAAATGGCTTCGTATGTGGCAAACACAGCCCCAGATGGACTTCCCAAGATTTTGGGTTTTTTTTCCCCCAGTGCCAAATTGTTCAGTTAAGTAACAATTTCTTATGACACATCAATTAGAGAATTAATTATTTTACTTTCATATAAGCACAAACAAAAGTAGCAGTATTGTGTACATTGTTATGATTCATCTTCCTCATGGAAAATCCACATCTTTTTCTAGTTTATAGATTTTTTTTCCCCCCACAAATATTTTTTTCCCCCCACAAATCAAAAACTTTTAAACAAACTGTAAAGTCTTTAAACAGGAGCAGGAAATGAAGTGCACACAAACTGTAATCTGTTGTTTGTAACATGGTGCACAGCTCTTCTAAAGGAAAATAAACTGTTTACTCATTATCTCACTCTCTGGCTTTTGAAGATTTGGTATAAATCCTGGCACTGCTTTTTAATTTCTAATCTTGAAAAATGTTACATAATTTTAGAAAAAAACCACAGATGTAAAACTATTTCTTTTCTGTTATCTTTCTCTGCTTTAACAGAATATTAAGAGTGGCTAAATTTTAAATGTTTAGCTCAGTAAGTTAATTTAGGCTCATTAACTCAATCTAACACAAAAATCTAATTCCCAATTCCTACAAGAAAAATAACTCATTCACCAAAGGGAGATATTCAAAGCTGTTGCTTTCCTGGATCTTCCAGTTTATTCTGTAAGCCGCTGTGTTTGTTACAGGGATCAATTTACAATTTATGTTGATCTGGCAGCAAATTTGAGTACACATTGGCTGTTCTTTGCTTAGCATTCAGTATCAGGGTAAGGTGCTACAAGAGGAAGGGAGATACAGGGCTCTGAAGTTGGCAGAATGTTTCATTGTCAAACTAGCATTGCTTTAGCAACAACACTATAGGTACAAATACTAATTTTATGGCAATTAAATTATATCAGTTTAAAGAACTGTATCACTGCTTATAGGAAAATAATATTGCTTTTACCTTACTGATAAGTGTTACAACATCACCTTCCCGGATTGTGAGTTCATCATCGTTCTGTGCTTCATATGGAAATATCACTTTGCAATACTCCTTGTCTGAAAGGAAGAACATTCATTGTGATAAATTATCACTTTATAACAATTGCTTATTCAAGGGTGAATAATCTTCATAAAATATTCCATTAGTGTCTCTTTGTGATGCCTTATTTCCTTGTCATCTTTCTCTTTGTATCTCAGACCTTCATAAACAACATGAAATATTTAAAAAACTACACACTGATAAGCATTCCTACACACGTCATCCAGGGAGCCAGCTCTGTAGCCCCTAGAACCAATATCTCAAATGAAATTGCTCCAGACAGCAACTTGCCACAAATTCTTTCCCTTTATCATAGTTCCACTGGTATAACCTCCCACCAGACTGCATAAACTGGAAGCATAAGGCACACAGTAGGTCGACATAGCTTTTCTATCCCCTTGTGTGCAAGAAAGCAGGTATTTATGAATCTATAAAGATGGTACAACAATAAATAATACATTAATAAAGGTTAATGCATTAATAACTAAACCACCTGTACACTCAGTGTAAGAGTTTTAAGAATTACTCTAAGTTTCCTTGATCCTTTCTCCTTTACTGTCTATAGGCATCATCTCAACTTCCATCTGGAAAATACAGAAGCCAGCACTCCTACTCAGAAATCATAAAAAGCAGTTGTCATGAAAAGCAGTTACTTACATGTTGCTGCGCAACAGATGAGTTTGTCAATGTGCCTTACAAATAAAAAGAGAATATGTTTTACAGCTGTTAAACTATGAATAAAAATATGTGATACTCTAAGACTAAAAGGTCTAAAAGGACTAAGTAAACTACTCTACTGTTTGTAGAATGGCATGTGATTTTGTAGAAATGTTCACCTCACTTTAAATGTCTCAGTTTTGATGACCTCTGTGTCTAGTCAACTTCCATATTCAATGCAGAGAAGTACTGGCAGGCCACAAATCAATTTGAAATAACAGGACTTATTCTTTTATACTTACTATAAAGAGAACCTGCATTATCACACTTGGGAGTATCTGAGTCTCATCCAGAGGGTTCAGCTGCCAGACACTAAGTGCCTTTTCAGACACTTGTGGGTATGTAAGACACATGCATAGTATGGCTGAACCTATGGAATTGCCAGGTCCCTCTGGTCTGACAGCTGGAGGCAATTCAAAACAAAATACCCTGGGGGTATCCCAAACAGCTCCAGATGCAAGCTATTGACTTCAGCCCCCAAGCTTTGACCTTGTGTCTAAATTTAGATTCAGGTATCAGATGTTAGAAACCAACCTGGTCAGTGCACTAAAGTCAATAAAGATCAAGTCACTAAAATGAGCAAAGCCTTGAGAGCCATTCCTGACTCCAGGAGCAGACACCTACATTTGTTTGGCTGAACCATGATTTGAACTCCCTGGACAGCAGTGACAGATGTCTAGTGGGACCACCCCCTGAAAAATCCAGATACCAAAATCAGGATTATAACCCAAATTTAGGGCTCTGAAACATAAGCTCCCTCCAAACTTCTAAAGTTTAGTGAGAGGAACATCAACTGTGAAGAAGCAGCCCAGAAATGTGCATCTGAAAATCTGCTCTCTGTAAGCACTATCAGCCTGAGAAATTAAAAAGTACTAGTAACTAGTAAAAGGAAAGCTTTTTTTTCTTCAGTTCACACACTGCTACTCAGAAACAGCATGAATTTTATGTGCCATTGGTTCAAGCAAACAAGAATTTCTTAGGCTTCACAGATTTCTTATTCTGAACACAAATGTTTGAATTTACACATGATCATTACAATTGGTTTTCTGGCCATGCCTTGTATTAGGTCTGGCTGAGATAGAGTTAATTTTCTTCACAGCAGCCCACATGGTGCTGTATTTTTGATTTGACTAAAACTGCACTGATAATACACTGGTGTTTTGCTGTTGCCCAGCACACCTAAACAGCTTTTTTTTTTTTTTCCCCTTTTTCTATCCCCCAAGTAGGCCAGGGTGAGCAAGAAGCTGGAGAGGACACAGCAGCTGACCCAAGTCGAGTAAAGGGATATTCTATGCCATATGGCCTCCTGCTCATCACTAAAAATGGGTGGGCTTTGGGGGTGTTTCCATTCCTTGGAGACTGGCTGGACATTGATCCACTGTAGGTGGTGAATGAATTGATCTACTGAATGGTGATTGCTTTTGTGTTGCCTCTTTTAATTTCTCTTTCATTTATTTATCAAACTGTCTTTATTCATTGATTTTCTCACTTTCCTTGCTCTGCTTTCTCCCTTATGGGGAGCAAGTGGCTGGGGGGAGCATAGCTGCTGGGTGGGGTCAACTCACCACACCTCCTCTGGTGCCTCTGAAGAAACAAAACTCTGATTAAGACAATGAACAAAAGTTTTCACGGAAGAGAAACGAGCTAGGGAAAAAAATCCTTTTCTCTGTTCTGAAAGCAGAGAACACTGTGAAATAAACATTTAGTAACTTTTCCAAACCACTGGGCATGTGAGAAACGCCAGGTCACAACTCAGATTCAGAGGATGAATGGGGTGTCTGACTGCTGCTTTAGTGCATTCTGAGAAAGGGTTAGGATGTCTCCTTGTGGACTTGTCTAGGATGCTCTGCCTGCTCCCTGTCTTGTCTTTGAGACAGTATAACAACATTTTATGTAGAAGCTGGTAGAAAGCTGACACACACTAACTTAGGTGGATGCAAAACAGCGTGTAGATAGATATGAGATTCAACACATTTTACACTTCAGTGGCATGCTACCTTAAATTATCATCGTGGGGTTTTTTCCTAGTCTGAGTATACCCACTCTCTGAAAAGCAGCTGTGCTAAATAATAGATTCAGTGAATTAGTCCAGAGTTGATGCAGATGTAATACTGCACTAAAGAAGCTGAATGCTGCACACTCAGGCAAGTCTCTAGTTACTGGGAACAGGCTTAGCATTTCTTTTCTGGGATACAGAATGACTGGATTCTCAGAGGTAAACAACACCTGAGCCCAAGAAGGATGATTCCAGAACATCCATTCTCAGACACATACATTGATCCTCCATTCAATAACAGCATCAGCTGAAGATTAAGTGGAAAGCCAAGCACAAAGTACAGCTAAAAAACTGCAGCCACCTCAGCATCACTCTTAACAGAATGCCTGTGGTGCAGCTTCTGCTCAAGGCATGTATGAATCCCACATATTTCAGATGAAAAAATGCTTTGGATGGCAAATGCTGGCACAGGAGCACAGGGTGAAGGAACAGCCACAGAAAATGAATACAGTTTATGTACAGTGGAAGTCTGGACTTCTTGAGTACAATTCAGACAGACCTACACTGAATCACTGAACCCACTGGATCATGCAACAGAGGTCTCAACATCACAGATGGGTTGGGAACAGTGTAAGCAACTGGACAAAGTCAGCTTTCAAACTTCTCCTAAGGGATAGGTAAACCAACATGATTTAAGCAAGCAAAAATAAAGCCAAGAGAACTCAAAACAAAGCCAACAGAACTTCATATTATTATACAAACCTTTAAAATCAGACTAATAAAAGCAGAGAGAAATCTGATAGGCTATGTCACATCAGGACTAAAATTGTCCTTACTCAGCAGGGCACAATACCACAAGACAATGTAGAAGCACTTAATGTCAACAGTCATGTTTAGATAGGAAGGAAGAAAAGATAAAAGAAAAAACCAATTTCAGACAAAGCATTGTATAGACCACACTGGAATTTGCTGAATTTGGGATTTTCCAAATGAGGAAAAAAAAAAAATCAGAAAAATACTAAAAGTCAAGACAATATACCCTATTACATGCCTGGCAAATAAACTTAAGGCAAATTAAAACTTAAAACTAAGATACCAATACTCAGGATCTCTCAACTGTAGATGATAAATTTAATTTTTACATTTGATATCCAAAGCTGGGTTAATACATCACAGTTCTTCTAGAAGCCTCTTTTTCTCCTCCTGACCTGATAAAAATATAACTGTTAATAAACCCCCAGCAGCAGATATCCTGGAAATATTAAGGGAGTAGAAAAGATGATACTCATGAGCTTTTAAGTCCTGTTTTATCAATTCAGCAGTACTTTACTCTGTCAGACCACAGTCTCTCACTGCAAACTCTCAGCTCCTCCTGCCCATGGGCAATGGGCACTGCTCAAGTAACTGAGTGAATAGATATGATATAGAGATAGAGATAGATACCAAGAGAATGAGATATTTTATGGGGGTTGTTATCATGTATCTTTGCGCAACACTGTCTGTCCCCAAGTTGACAACGTGGCCTTTTTGATAAAAGTCTCAACCCCTCAAAAATCATTGCCCCAAGAGAGAGAACAACAGCAAGGGGCAGCCTTCCTCCAGAAGACAGCTGCTTCATTACCCAGGCCATTGCAAGGACAGTATTTCACTGACAGGATTCAGTGCTCAATATGTATTTACAACTGCAGGGTAAAGAGCTGATGTCAAGCTACAGACCCGCTCTGGGACTTGGGGCCCTGCAGCAGTATGGCAGGTAAATTTGTATTTTGAGAGACTGGTTAAATATTATACTGTTCCAACCAGATCTGAGCAAACTCCGTTTACTGTATCAGTGAACCCTGCTTCACTTCAAAAGTGTGACTCTTCTGTTTGTTCTCCTGCCACACTCTTAGGATGAGCTAAGACCTTCAAGAAGGCAGTCCACAAACATTAATTCAAGCTTAAATTAAAAAGGGGACAGTGACTCTGGAATTTTCTTTTCCTCTTAGGGCAGGATGACACAATCTCTTCCTTTTACTTCTATTGTTGCTTCTTTGTACTGTTAGTTTTTGAGGCTTAAACATTTCCCCATCAGTGAAGTCTAAAACATACAGCAATCAATATGGACAATAGCACTACAAAACAAGAAAACAAGCAACAGTAAGGTAGTATTCCTTGAGCTTAAACTTCCTCTCTTTGACTATCAATGATAAAATGTTTCTGAAATGCAGTAAAATATACAAAATCTAGAGAAAAATTACATAATTATTACTAAAACCACAAACCAGACAAAAAAAATCCAAACACTATACACAGCAGAATTTGGTTTTACTATTAATTGCTACACTCAAGACTCATAAATAGATAGCACTAATAAATATTTTCACAAAACTTAGTAAGATGTAAACTGTCAAAACACCACCTTATTAAAAAATAGAAACAGAAGTAACTGTGGTTCTATTAATACATATCCACCATGCAAAAAGATTAGTTGTTTGCTATGATCTTGGTACTCCTATGCAATAGCTTAACACAAACTTTAAATAGTGAGTGGAATAAAATCAAATTAAATGCTGTGGTTAAGTAAGCCACTCTATGACTTACTGCCTTTGCTATTTTGTTGTCTGCTTATTTATACTCCATTAGTGCAGTCTTGGTAATCTACAATAACTCTCAGACGTTGTGGATGTTTTTGTTTTGCTGAATTTTAGAATCCAACAGAGCTACTTCAAAACTTACATATATTTTCTGCAACATATCCTATTCACCACAAGCCACTCATACTAAAAGTAAGCTATTTCATAGAAAACCATGTATCTCACCCAGAAATAGGATTGTAAACACTCACACATTAATATGCCATCCTATCTACATGACAGAGATGAAACTTCAAGAGCAGAATACTCCTCTAAATGTGGGAACCCACACATCTAAACCAAACAGCTCTCCCCTTTTCTATTCAAAGATGCATTCCCTCATTCATAAAAGACTAGTGGTATTTTCCCAAGGGATCACTCAAACCCTGTAAAGATTTGTGCCTTCACTGTGCTCTTTCTTTGGGCAAAAAGTTGTCTTTGGCCCTGAAGAGTCATCTGTTTATCCCACAAATCTTCAATCTGTTTTTGGGCAGATTTACATAGCATATTGTTGGGAGATGCACCTCAGAGAACACACACCTCTGTCTTTTGCTTCAACCAACACATCCCATTGCAGAGATTAGCCCATCTTGTATGTTCCAAGAACAGATGACACATTAAGTGCCTCACTGCTGATCACTGTCCCATCACATCAGAAAAGTTACAGAAAAAAGCAGACTGGAATCAAAGTGTTAGAAAAGTCAGCAACCATCACTCCTTGATGAAGCCCCAGGGGCAGAGAGTGAAGATGCTGCTGGTACTGCTTCCCCTCTCAGCTGGCCCTTTCTCAATGCAACTGCATTGTTATTCCTTATTATCAAAGAATAACATCATCAGTCATAGAAAGCAATCAGGAAAATTAAAAACTGGATTACTCCTCTCCCAATATAACCTCTGTTTAGTAAGTAACTAAACCATAACTTAGTCATGTAAGTAACTAAACCATAACTTAGTCTATGGATCTTCTGTTTCTTGCTACTTCCTTAGAGAATGGCACAGTGTCTGTTTTGTTCAGCAGTTAAAGACCCCATGAAAGACTGGGACATTTTCATCACAGGCAAAGTACTTGAGGTCCAAGGTGGAATGATACTTTTGTGTTGAACACATCAATTGGAACATACAGCATTTTTCTGAGACTGCAAACTTCCTTGGACTGAATCCTTTATCAAGCTTGTTTGTGGTAAAAAGTAAAAATTGAATTTTTGAGAAATGTCAAATACTAGACAGATTACAGTCCTATAATCTGTATATACAGCCAAAGTCTGATCATACTCCTTATTTCTGACTATCAGGCATTAACTTTATTATGAATAAATTATTTCTCTGCCTATATTAAACACCAAACCAGACTGAAGCATGTTTCATTTGCACTGAGAGGTTTTTCAAATTAAGTGAAGGACAACTTCAGCTGAATGAAATGTGTCTTCAATGATGTCATTTGAGGCTAAGAAAATTATATATAATTATATTACATCAGACCTTCCTATAGATGTGCTTCTCTTTTCCAAGCATGAACAGAGATGCAAAGAATTCTACTGAGGCCCCAGAGATTCCAGGAAAGATAAAATAATAAATAATGCAGTTTAGTTAAAATTCAACAAGATACTGTGCAAATTAGTAGCCCACCTTTCTCACCAACTCTGACAAAATGGATGTTGAATGAAGACAGCAAAAGAAGAAAGACTTTTCTGGCCAAAAAGTGTCCACGGGAAATAACAAAGAGGTGAAATAAGGACTATCCAGAGCCCAAAAGTGTTGATGGAAAAGTGTCTCTGTCATTCAGAGATGCATCACAGTAGAAGATACAGTTTTCTAACCATTGGTCAGAAGGTTTCCATACTAAGTTTATAAATGTGAAAGTTTGAACCTCCCATACCCTGGGATGGCATTTAGTGAGCAGCTTCAGCTGTCAGAAGTATGAGCTGATGTGGAAAGGAGCAGCCTGGCTTCCCATACAAGGGTTAATGCTGCAGGTGGGAAAGCCCCTGGAGCACCCTTTCTGATGGCACCTGCACTCGGGTCAGCTGGAACTGCTCAGCCTGCAGGTTGGCAAAGGTAATATCAAAACACCTTCAGGAGACTTCTTCTGCATTAACAGTTCACACATTTCTCAGTATTTCAAGTTTTCACTTCCTCAGGACAATTAAATTCCTGCAGTATTTCCCATTAGAGCCTGCTGGCATGGGGGCACAAGATAAGAGGATGTAGCAAATAAATGATTGTGGTGGGGCTAATGGACAATAACTCATAAAAAGCTCTTTTAAGCTGCTTTTGCAACTTTGAGCTGAAAACCTGTGCAAACCAGTTTGTAACCACACACTTTCCTCACTTTCCTTTTTCTGCTGATCCATCCTGCTCTGCTTTCCTACATATGTCTGTATCTGTTTCAGTTCTAAGACAAAATGTTATCTGCTAACTATCTAAAAGGATAAACATATCAGGAAAGATGGACTGTGCAATATTTAAAGAAAATCAGCTCTGTTATATTCAGCTTCTTTTCTAAGGTATGACTATATTATCTTCCCTCTTACTCTTTTCCACTAGAATCTGTAATATTTACTTGTAACTCTACATAAAGAAAATCAAAAGATGGGGAATATATATTTATGTTATTTGGTAAGCTAGTTACATATGCCTCCCCAGAACAGCATAGAGACATACCTGAAAGATTTAATCATTACTTTGTCATCGCTAATCACTGAAATGATGCAAAAAAGAACTGAAGGTCAGAGAATCAGAGAATAGTGAGGATTGGAAAGAAACTTTAGGATCACCTAGTCCCAATGCCACCTGCCATGGGCAGGGACACCTTTCACTATCCCAGGCTGCTCAGAGCCCCATCCAGCCTGGCCTTGAGCACTGCCAGGGATGGGGCAACCACAGATTCTCTGGGAACCTGTGTCAGTGCCTCACTATGCTCACAGTAAGAAATTTCTAACATCTGATCTAAACCTGCCCTCTCTCAGTTCAAAGCCACTTCTTCTTGTCCTGTCATACATTCCCTTGTAAAAATTCATTCTTCAGCTCTCTTGTAGGTCCCCCTGAGGTAGTGGAAAGTTGCTGGAAGGTCTCCCTGGAGCCTTCTCTTTGATTTCCTATACAAACTATACCATGCATAGTTTTATTTCTGCTACATAAAGAAATAAAAATAATTAAAATATTTTTTTAAAAAAGAGGAAAAAGGCAAGGGCATTCACAATGAGAGAAATTTTTCTATGACCTATATACAAGTTACAACCTGAAATCTGATCTTATTCAACTCTGATTAATTCCAAAGTATCCTCAAGGCTGAAAGTTGACCACATAATTTAACTTGATTTTTGGTGGCAGAAAACTTGAGGTAGGGTCACAAGAGCAAAAACAATTCAGAGGAATCTGTGAAACAAAACATTTTGTCTAGGTACTACCTACTCAGAGTTTATCTACCTGCATCCTGGCCTTTTTACATACATGACACTCTTTTAACCAAAACCAAAGAAAAGCATTCAGCTTGCTTTTAATAGCACAAAGTGCAAAAAAGAACCTATGAAACCTACTTTTTGTTCTGCTGTCCACTTCTATTTTTGTTGGCTCCTGAGTTGCTGTGGCTGGAGGTAATTTCTTCCCAACACTCTGAAAAAAAATAATTATTCTTCTTTAAAATTTACAGGTTCAGTAAAAGTTGGACAACATAAAAAATAATAATGGAAATACAAAATATAGGAGTAGAAAAGGGACAGTAAAGAAAAAGAGGCAAATTATAAACTATACTTTGTTACTGGGGATTAACTTTTTTAAAAATTATAAAGAATTAATAAAAATGTGATTCTTTAGTTTCCCTTTACTAATGTGTCTAACATTTTTAAATGACAACCCCTTAACACTTCCCTGAATTTCAGGGAAGACTCACAGAAGTTTCACTGGCAGATTGAATATTAAGCAATCAATGAAATGACTTAGGGAAAGGTGTTATTCAACACCAAAAGCAAAGCTGAAAGAGCAGAAAGGAACCCACTTGACTTCTGTTCATACAAGGAGTATTCATTTCAGTCATTCTAGACTGAGTGTGATCTTTATATTGACAACATCTCTTTCTTATTTTATTATTTTTTATGTATTTTTAGCAAAAGTAACTAATTTACAGTGAACTACTATAATAAGCAATAACCTGCCTCAGCAAAGCTGAAACAATAAACAAATACCATCTGCCCCCACCAAAATAAAATAGAATAAAATCAGTGATATTCATCTTTATGTAACTTCCTCTATTATTACATGCATGCTATCCCCTCTCTCTCTCAGCTTGTCTCCCTATGAAGAAAGTTTTCTATCTTTAAAATCCTAGCACTGTGAGGACGAGAAAATAAGCCTAATTGTTTCTGAAAAGCCCTAGCTACCATTCCCTGCAAGGTCTGCACAAACAGCACAAAGCTCCTCCATGCTTTCATGACCTCCTGAGTAAAAGGGTAGAGACCAGAGTGCTGAGTTCTAGCCTTGGAAGTACTGAGTACCATAAGGACCATAAGAAAACACTGGTCAATATAAGAAGCAATAGGAGTAGAGCTCTTTGAGTAGCTGAACAATTCCAAGGTGTATAAAGAATACTGAGAGCTCCATGTTAATAATATGTAATAATATGTCAAAATGTATTTATGGAAAGGACTCAAGCACACACAGGAATTTCAGGCTGGTAAAAAGAGCACATAGGGAGGAAAGACAGTTCTGAGACCTGTGCACAAGACAGCCATCAAATCCATGTTGGCAGCAATGCAGACTACGAATGGCAATACCAAAAGCATCCCTTGAAATTTAATTTGCAGTTGGAAGAAGAAACACCTGACCTTCTGATGAGCTTATAACTCTACTCAAAATCCAGAGTTTGTGAACTGCTAAGGAAGGGAAATAAACAATAAAACTCTAGAGAACCTCCCAGATTATTTTCTGAGGTGGGAATTAAAGATAAGCTTTAGCTGAACCAGTGATTAGGGAGGTAACAGAAAAACAGGAGAGAACAGATATCTGCAAATTGAGAGAGGGCAAAGCTAAGAAAAGTTAATGACCTGGTTGTGCTGAAGAAGTTTAAAGTCAAGAAGGATGATGATAAATCTGAGATCTATCTGCAAAGCAGTGAAAATTGTACTAGAAGAGGTATAAGGAAGAATTTGAAGCTACCAGGCATTTGTAAATACACAGATAAAAGTACAGAATGCCTTCAAGATGAATGCAAGACTGGGAAGGCAGCTTCTGGTTCAGAGGCAAACAGGGCAGTTCAAGATAGCTGCATGTCACAGTACATGCTCAGTCATGATCAAACCTTTATTCACATTTCCACTTCATGAAATTGTTTAGGAACGTGACAAAAACAGATACTCTAAACTGCACTGCAATAAAGACATGCTCACTAAAGGAATATGAAAACCTTTTAAATTAAGGGAGGTTTTGTTATTTTAAAGATCTAATTATTATGCAAGACCAATTAATTAAAGGAAATATTTTAGTAATTGCTTTACTATACACGAATCATTGATTTTATGCCACAAAACCAAACACCATATAAAACTACAGCATGCTATAATTTAACAAGCTACAGATCACAACAAAAGAATCATGGGCAAAAAGGAAGATACTTGTGCATCCTAGTGAAAAATACATTATGCAAAGCAATTTCGTAATATATAGAAGCAGATGCAAGAGCAATCCTTGAAAACATTACTTCATCTATTCATTCAGAACAAATGCCTGTGCAGGTGATAAATTAGTATTGGGAACCAACTTGTGAACAGAAAAGGGAATACTATTCAAACAAGGCTGTTCTTTTATTAGGAGCTTAAGGAGGAAAAATTCAAATAATTTTTTGTGAGGGTTGCATAGGACCCACTCCAGTGAGAAGGGATTTGTTGTGGGACAGGGAGAGGAGAAGACAAGTGGAACTGATATTCTTTAATTATGAGGGGACTACACTCTGGGATTTCTAGGGATGAAACAAGCATCATTGACAGGAAAAAGGAACAAAAATTGATAATTCATGTAAATCTGGTTTCAGGTGGACCTCAATTGCCAAGGTGTTTTAATTGTCCTGTTAAGTGGTCCTAAAGGAGGTGGGGTTTAAAAATTATTTATTTATATTTCCAATTGGTCTACATTTGCATGGAAAATGTATCACCACTTTCTAAAAACACCTACATGAAACTTAATAGAGTACTTTTTGTTCATTAGGAAATAACCAAGATAAACTTTCCTCACTCTAAGAGATACTGAATCCTCTGTGATCTGGCAAATCTGATGGTTCTGCTATAACAGGCTAAAAGCTCATGTATAGCTAAGATTTGGAGACCCAGAGCAAGCATATCAGAGCCACCAATTTTTCTAACAAGAAAACAAAAATGTGAGATGGTGACATCTCCCATATAAGCCAGAAACTTCCCTGCTCTCTCTCCAACTGTTCTATGTCTCATACTCCCATACAGGTCAAATATCTACCACATTTTTTAGTGGTGAGGAGAACAAAGGAAACTCAACTTGAAATTTTGCTGATCCAATACACATCTGCATGACACAGACTTTTCAAAAACAGTTACTACAAGATATTTTGTTGTCTTCTTCAGTTAAAAGCCCAGCGCAATTTATCAAAACCTTCACTTCTAAAAAAAGGAAACATGGGAGCAAAGAACACCCAATATGTTGAACTGAAGATTTCAGCATAATTCTTTCTCCTCCTTTGTTCTTCCTTTACATAAGAAGACAGTCCAGGCCCTTCTAGACACATTGATCTATGCTACATTGTACTGATATCCAACTCCAGCTTTCCTGTTAGTCTTTTCCTGATTAATTCTTACCTATCAGGCTCAGGAAGCAAGCACATCTTACCCCTTCGGGACACCGGCACAAAACAATACTTATAACTTGAAGGACTTTTTGGGAATTTAGACATTCCAAGTCCAAGAACAGGATCCTCAACCCTTGGCAGCAATCCCTAACATCTCCCAGCATAAACTGTCTCACTTCATTTACCTAAATCTATCATGTTGTCAACAATGTTTGGAATTAAAAGTCAAATGAAGCATGAACCAGAATGCCCATAATGGCATCTCCCAGCAGTGGCCTAAATACCAGGCTGCAAAGACAAGTGAAGTTCTGCATTTTCTCTCGAAAGCTATCTTGGATTCTTGGCTGCAGAATGGGTTCATCACCAGCAAGAAGGGCAGCATATCAATCTGTGCCCTCATATTTCTAGCCCAGTGGTACAGAGACACTCCTAAAGACTACTGTGTCCATCTGTCCTCCCCCAGCATGCTGATTACCATAAATCCCTCTTCTAGGTGGTGGCAGTGAGCCTTGTTCCACTTACATTTCTCTGTAGATATCACTCTGACTTGCTCACTCCTGTCACACAAGAAAAACATGGTGGAAACAGTTTGTGTTTTCTGACTCCAAGCCTAGGTTGGCTCCCAACACAACAGAATATGATCAACAAAACAGGCAGAATCTTAATCCCACTATTTCTGCAAGGCAAGCATAATTAGATTATTTAGCTGTCAGACACAAATTTCGCTAATCTCCTGACAAGCGCATCCTAAACATGAAAAGGGATGACGTGCCTTCTTGCTGCAGAAACAGCTGATAAAAGCATGAAAAATCACCATGATTTGGCATTCAGATATTTGGAGGGACGAGACAGATTTAGCAGCAACCTGGCAGTGTTAATGCTTGGATGAATGAAGCCAATGGAAGGACAGTCCAGCACTAAATAACCAGTTCTGTGGGCCTCGATGGCATTTTGGTACACTGCAAATCTGTATCACTGCAGACCAGTTTCTTCTGCTACTGAATTAATAGCAATTGCAAAAAATGGTTGAGGTGGCACACAGAATCAGGTAAATGGTATTACCTGAACAGTCTCATTTTCTTTCATTTATATATTTTGTCTCAACTGTAATACCTGTAACAGCAGAGAACAGCACAAGAGAAACAGAACACAAAATGGATAGTATACAAGTGAGTTTTTCTCACCTAAAGGTATGGTTGTTGTTCCCTACAACTATTGAACCCTGACAAGAGGAAGAAAAGTAAACCTGTGACCAATCTTCCTTCAGGATATTTTAGTATTATAAGTCAGGGTTTTCTGTTGTGGCTGAAAACTGACTTGTATATTTACTTTCATTATTCAGGTCTAGTGTGTCTAGAACACTTAATATGAAAATTCAAATTGAATTGTTATATGTGCACAGATAGGTCCATGCAGGAGGTTCTGTTATACTTTGCACCAAAGTAACATACTTATCCTTTGAGGCTCCTTTAACAATATAGGCTTCTTGAAGCAATAGCTTATTTACTCAGGAATAAAGAAAAAAGGATTTACTCAGCATCATTATTTATTTTGGAAAGTGTATTGAGGTCCGTATCCTAGATAAAATGTTTTGGAAACTGCTACTTGGAATATAATTCCATGAAGATATTCTTAAGGAATACATCAGACAATAAAGAATTCATAAAAATGGGCTGTATGAGCTAGAAACATTAAGCTTAACATAGTTTGTCAGTTTGAACAGTGATAATACAGCAATGTGCACTGGTGCTTTGTACAAGGGAGGAAAAGGCAGTTAAGTATCTTTTGAACTTTTAGAATTTCAGAA